ACGATGTGAAATAAAATTTAAAATATAACATAAAATATAATATAAAATATAATTAATATAAAATATGATATGAAGTACAATATAAAATATAATATTAAATATTGTATAAAATATGATATGAAGTACAATATAAAATACAATATTAAATATTGTATAAAATATGATATGAAGTACAATATAAAATATAATATTAAATATTATATAAAATAAGATATGAAGTACAATGTAAACTATAATATAAAACGTAATATGAAAATATATTTAATATAAAATGTGATATGAAGTAAAATATCGAATATAATATTAAATATAAACATACAATATTTACAATATTATATCTATATAATATTAAAATTTCCTCCAAGAAAAATTTGCACTATCAAGATACACAATATTATCAAGGCGGATATAATATTATACGCACGTATAGTCGATATCATGAAACAAATGTTTAGACTATATTTTTTTAACACGATTCATCGAATTCAAACGATCGTACGATACGATATACCCGGACAGTTCGTCCGGAATTACAGTAACACGCCCACTAATCCCGCTTTCTGAATGATCTCGCACCATTTAAGGCCGATCTAATGTCGGAGGTTAATTGAAAATTAGTAACCGGTAGCACAGTCTCTGCCACTGTAGTCGCCGGCTTTCGCTATTAATAATCTTAATAAAGTTCAATCTCGGAATAATTGAATTCGTAACCTGCCGGTGGCAAAGGTTGCGTTCTCTCGTCTGCCTGACAATTTTTTTCACGAATGGAACGCCGTGGACGTTGCGAGTCACGTGATTCTAACTTGAAAATCTGTTCGCTGTGCTGATTACAAAATATACTCTCATATATTTAATAACAATGGTAATTTAATAATTGTGGTTACAATTAGAACAATTGTTGCTCTCAGAACTTTCTAACCAGCTGACTAAAATTAAAGATTTGGGTCCATTTTAACCTAGAATATAAATATTCATATTCGACCGTCTAGCTTCCAACAATTAATTAAAATTGCCAACAGGGTCATAATGCTTTATACAAAATCTTAAAAAAATTGCTGGATAGAATATTAATTATTATTAATATAATAAAATATAATAAAATATTCTATATATTCTATATACTATATTATATATATCATATTATGTATATTCAATATATTATGTATTATATTACGTATATTCTATATATTATATTATATATTATATTACATGTATTCTATTTATTATATTATATATTATGTTATGTATTATATTACATATATTCTGTATATTATATTATATATTATATATAATATATAGAATGTAATATATAATATTATAATAAATAATGTTTAATATTTTATTAATATTAAAACAAATATTAATAAAAAAATAATATTAAATAATAATAATAATAAATATTATAATAATATATTAATATTATTATATAATAATATATATAATAATAATAATATTAAATATTAAATATATTAAAAATATTATAAACAAATAAAAAACCAGTAACAACAAAGATCGAAACTAAAAAATGGAAATCCGATTAGAAATATTTTCATGGCGCGAGGAATTTCTCGGTCGGGAAATTGACGCGCATCTGAAGAAAAAACATCTCGGCCGTAAGCTCCGGGCGAGATGGAATTGGAATTACGGAAAGTGGATCGATCGGACGTTATTCGCGATTAGATCACCGCCGTCGTCGTCGTCGTCGCCGAGTCTCTCTGATCGGTTCCGTGGAAAATAACGAGGACGCGTATCGGCCGCCGCTTGTTTCAGACGTATCCGTCGCCGTTGCCGTACGCGCCGTTAGGAAAGGAGCGATCGGTCTCGTCCCTGGTGGATCAGCTGTTGCTGGAGATCTACGGGCTGCCGGACGGCGACAGAGGACGATCGGAAAGCGATTCGACAGCGTCGTCCCTGAAGGCGCGTCCCCGGCACCAGCAGCTGCAAAAGGCGCGTCTGCTATGGAAAAGTAAGAGTAACTCGATATAAGAGATAGAAATGTCTATAACGGGGCCGCAGGGAGGGGGGAAGAGCGGGGAGCGTGGGCGGCCTGATAAATGGGTTTACATCGGGGACGTTTATTGTGGAAGCTTCTCATTGTCGAACCCGCTTGCCAGCGATTATTTACCGGCGCGTAGAATTTCATAATATAGCGGGCCCGGCGAGGCGAGCGCCGATTGTTGTTATGAAATGGACGGAGTAGACGAGATGGCGGGAGCGTCTGCGAATTCACTATTATCGTTTCCCTCACAATGATCCATTAACGGGGGGAAGCACTCGCCGCTGCAACGCCAATATTTATGGAAATCGTTCCTCGTGTTCGAAGGAGAGTAGATGCGCCGTTCAAAGATAGGATGATCAGAGCTTCTTTTGCATGGAATAGAGTTTGCGCGTTTCTAACCGAGAGTATTTTTAATGGGGTATGGTTGGTACAGGCTGCTTCTAGTGGAGACTGCTTCCATGGAGTCTGTTTAGTGTTTAAGTAGAGTGCAGGGTAGGCTAGTAGAGTTTGTTTAATTGAGTCTGTCGAAGTCTGTTTCCTGTTGAGTAGATTAGTCGGTTAGGTGGTCGACATTTAGTAGATTCTGGCTACTTGGAATCTATTTGTAGAATCTGGCTACTTAGAGTTTGTCTACTTAGTGTCTGATTACTTAGAGTCTGTTTAATAGAACCAGATTAGTAGAGTCTGCTTAACAGACTCACTTTAGTAGAGTTCGTTTAGTAGAATCTGACTACTTGGAGTCTATTCAATAGAACAAGTTTAGTAGAGCCTGTTTAATAGAACCAGATTAGTAGAGTTTGATTAATAGAGTCTGCCTACTTAGAGTTCATTTAGTTTAGAATCAGTAATTAGAGTTCGTTTAGTAGAGTTCGACTACTTAGAGTTCGTTTAGTAGAATCTGACTACCTGGGGTCTGTTCAATAGAACCAGTTTAGTAGAGCCTGTTTAATAGAACCAGATTATTAGAGTTTGATTAATAGAGTCTGCCTACTCGGGGTTAATTTAATAGAGTTATACTAATTAGAGTTCGTTTAATAGAGTCTGTCTACTTAAAGTCTGTTTAACAGAACCAGATTAGTAGAGTCTGCTTAACAGACTCAGTTTAGTAGAGCTTGTTTGATAGAACCTGCCTACTTGGAGCTCATTTAGTAGAGTATAACTAATTAGAGTTCATTTAGTAGAGCCTGACTACTTGGAGTCTGTTTAATAGAACCAGTTTAGTAGAGTCTGTTTAATGGAACCAGATTAGTAGAGTTTGTTTAATAGGGCCTGCCTACTCGGAGTTCATTTAGTAGAGTTATACTAATTAGAGTTCGTTTAGTAGAGTCTGACTACTTAGAGACAGTTTAATAGAACTAGTTTAGTAGAGTTTGATTAATAGAGTCTGCCTACTTAGAGTTCATTTAGTAGAGTTATACTAATTAGAGTTCGTTTAGTAGAGTCTGACTACTTAGAGTCTATTTAATAGAACCAGTTTAGTAAAGTTTGAATAATAGAGTCTGCCTACTTGATGTTCATTTAGTAGACAATCAGTAATTAGAGTTCGTTTAGTAGAGCCTGACTACTTGGAGTCTGTTTAATAGAACTAGTTTAGTCGAGTCTATTTAATAAAACCAGATTAGTGGAGTTCGTTTAATAGAGTCTGCCTACTTTTATTAGAGTTTGGCTAAGTAGAGTTCATTTAATAGAGTTTGTCTACTTATAGTTCGTTTAGTAGAGTTTGACTATTTAGAGTCTATTTAATAGAACCAGATTAGTAAAGTTTGTTTAATAGGGTCTGTCTATTCGAAGTTCATTTAGTAGAGTTATACTAATTAGGGTTCGTTTAGTAGAGTTATACTAATTAGAGTTCGTTTAGTAGAGTCTGACTACTTAGAATTCATTTAATAGAGTCTGTCTACTTAAAGTCTGTTTAATAGAATCAGCTTAGTAGAGTACGTTTAATAGAGCCTGTCTACTTAGAGTCTATTTCCAGTGTCTGTCTACTTAAAGTTTGTTTATTGAGTTTGTCTATGTAGAGTCTGATTACTTAGAGCCTCTTTAATAGTATCAATTTAGTAGAGTTCGTTCAATAGAGCCTAATAGAGTCTGTTTTTAACTTATTTCTACTTTGAATTTGTTTCTAAAGTTTGTCTACTTAGATTCTGTTTAGTAGAACCAGTTTAGTAGAGTTTGTTTAATAGAGCTTGTCTACTTTGAGTTAATTTAGTACAGTCTGACTACTTAGAGTCTGTTTATAGCATCTGACTACTTAGAGTTCGTCTACTTAAACTCTGACTACTTAGAGTCTGTTTAACAGAATCAATTTAGTAGAGTTTGTTTAATAGAGCTTGTCTACTTAAAGTCCGTTTCAAATGTATTCAGTTGTACTTTGTATTGTACTTTGAATTTATTTCTAGGGTTTGTCCACTTATAGTCTCTTTGTTGAGTCTGCCTGCTAGTAACTGTTTAATAAAATCTCTCTACTTAAAACCTGATTATTTAGAGACCCTTTAGTAGATTCTGTTTGATAGACCCAGCTTAATAGAGTTTGTTCAATAGTTGTGTGCCTACTTGCAGTTCATTTAATAGAGTCTGATTACTTAGAGTCTGTTTGCAGAGTCTATCCACTTGGAGATCCTTTAGCAGAGTCTGTTTAATATAGCCAATTTAATAGAATTTGTCTACTTGGAATTAATTCAATAGAGTCTGTCTACTTAGAACCTGTTTGTTGAGTCAGTATACTTGGAATGTTTTTGTAGAGTCTGTCACTCTAGAATCTGTCTACTTAGAATCTGCTGTTAGAGTCTGTTTTTAGAATCTATCTCCTTAGATAAGGTTTATGCAAGGTTTCTTTTTAGACTCTGCATAACAGTCAGTCTAACAGTAGAATATATTTTCATTTATGTTAATCAGTGGAATATATTTGGTACAGTTTACTTTGTAAAGTCAGTCCTTAGGGTCAATTTAAAATTAGTAGAGCCTCTCTTAGTCTGTCTTAGAAGAGTCTGCTTTGTAAAATCTGTCTTTAGGGTCAACCTAAAAATAGGATCAACTGAAAATAGGGTCAACCTTAGAATAGGGTCAACATAAATTGACTTTAAAAAAAAGGTCAATAAAAATAAAAGAGTCTGTCCAATAGAATATGTCCACTAGACTCTGCCTAGTGCACTCTATTCACTAGTGCCTATTCAACAATATCCAATACTGTATCTATATATTAAAATCTGTTCAGCACAGTGAATGTTCAAGTGCCCGGCGCTCTCACAACAGTATCAAATAACCAAAAGCAAGAGCACCAATCGACCCGGGAGACCTTTCGGTACAACTTTTCGTCAACTGTTTCACCAAAATAGCCCCGGGCTGTAAACCGGCATAGGAGAACCGTGCTCGCCGCAGCAGAATTACGCCGGCGATATCGATTTTACGGGGCGCGAGGCGAGAGATTCGAAAGTCCGTTCGAATTAGGCGACGATACTTCGGCAGATGCTGACGAGACAAGAGGCTCCGTACCGCTGCCCAGACAGAGACAAGCGGCCTCGTTGACTTCAAGTCGGGAAGAAGGTTCTTTCGCTTCGAGTGCGCCACTCTTTCTCCCTTTCTTTCTTCCGCTTCCCGGGGCCACTCCTTTTATTTCTATAGACGACGCTGCTTCGTTGAACGTGCATAGGGAAAAACAGGGGTACGAAAGACCGCGGACTACGAAGAACTATCTTTCTACCACGCTGGAACGTGACTTTGCCTGAATCGCGTTGCCATCGGAACGGTATCCGTCCCAGACAGCCGGGAAGCGTTCGTGTCTCGTGGATTCGTTGGGTAATTTGCGAAATTGCTACTACGACGAATAGATTTATTCCAAACCAGAAACGCATCGAATAAATTTTTCCGAATTTTTGCAATAATTTACGTAATATAATCTTCCATTGCTGGGATATTTTTATCATCTCTGTCACGTCGGAAACCATAAACGATCCTCCAAATTATAACATTATTTTCAACGAATTCTATCTAAAATTATTTAATAATTTGAAATTGTTGTTAAACTATTTTTAAACAATTTCTCTCTCATTTTCTCTGTCATCGTCACGTCGCATTACACGAACACTGAAACCATAAACGATCCTCTAAATTATAACACTATTTGCAAACAATTCTATTTAAAATTATTTAATAATTTGAAATTGTTATTGTATTATTTTTAAACAATTTCTCTCTCGTTTTCTCTATCATTGTCACGTCGCATTACACGAACACTGAAACCACAAACGATCCTCCAAATTGTAGCATTATTTGCAAACAATTCTATTTAAAATTATTTAACAATTTGGAATTGTTATTAAATTATTTTTAAACAATTTCTCTCTTGTTTTCTCTAACACCGTCACATCGCATTACACGAACACTGAAACCATAAACGGTCCTCCAAATTATAACATTATTTGCAAACAATTCTATCTAAAATTATTTAACAATTTGGAATCGTTATTAAATTATTTTTAAATAATTCCTCTTTCGTTTTCTCTAGCATCGTTGAATCAGTGACCTATAAAGTCACAAACACAGTCTAAAAAGCAGACTTTTCTCCCATTAACACTAAACCTACCGAGCACTAAAAGCAACGAATTTTTGTTGCTCTGTAAGAACGATAAAACCGAATCTATTTAGACTTCCCATAATTTTTATTACAACGAATACTCGGACTGTGAAATTCATTTAATAATTTCCTATGAAAAAGTCTCTATAATTTCAGCAATTTTAAAATACAAAATGTAAAACCGGTCATTTTGACCGGCTTGGTAGGTTTAGTGTTAAATTCTTCCATTTCAGTGAAATATTTATAACAATAA